GTATTCTGACCCTAAATCTCTTCCAGCAGAGTAGTCCAAAAACGGACAGCTTTCCCCTCATGTACCAGTGCACATAACCCAACTGCTCAGTAAATCTCTGCATATGAAGAGCTGTGCTGTAATTTTTCATGACAGCATCATACAATTAGAAACCTGTTAAAAGAGTCTGCTCCCCATACCCTCAGGCTGCACTTGAGAAGATTTAACCATGACTACAGCAGTAGCTGTTATCCAAATCTGATCAATCAAAGTGTCCCCTTGCAGCTTGGAAGCTGATTTGCAGCACCCACTCTGGCACGCTGGCACTCACCAGGCTGGCTGCTGGCTGACCAGCCGTGTTATTCAGCACTGGATGCAGAAGCTCCTGCCCTTCAAATCTGCTCAGAATTCCTCTTTAGAGCACATATTTGCCACGCATTACATTTCAAGCATCCTACTCAGTTTCACCATTGTCATAGCAGGATCCCACCAAGGCGTCACACAGACCAGCTCTGCCTGCAACCTCCTACGAGGTCCAAGAGGTGATGGGTTCAGACATACTATTAAATGATGTATGCAGTCAGTGAGGTTTCCACAGCAAACAGGGACTGAAGAGTCTCAGCTATCCAGCCATTAAGAAAACCCTCACATCAGTCTGCCAGCCACATAATAGTTGGAAAACCATTTCAGCCGTGATGAAACTGAAGCGGGACTGAGCTACCCCTGCTGCACATGGGCAACGGCTCACTGCCTCCCCAGAAAACCTCCCCACACCTCCAGGTGTCCGAGGGTTTCTGCCTTGTGCTTTCAGTGGAGCTCCCCATGCTTTCAGAGCAGCTCTGCAGCAGCCTGTTTCCAACAGCAGGTTTATTCAGGAGATTCTCAGCCTGCTGTTGTCTACAGAACCTGACGTGTGACTGGTTAGCACAAGGTCTGCAGATGTGGTGGGACTGCCCAGGACGTCCACCAGACTGACCCACAACCTGCCACGGTTAGAGAGCATGAAAGGAGCTGTGCCACAGCTGGCATTGCCTGTCACCATGAGCCCATCCTTTTGCACACTGGTGATCTCAGAGATCAGAAAAGTATTCCTCTTGGCTGCCTGCAAGGTACCTGAAACTAGAAGCAGCACCAAGAGATGCACTGTGACTAATACTGATGGAGTTTTAGCAGGAACCTCACAGTGTTCTGCGATGCCTACACACAAAAACTACATCTCCTCACCGAATGCAAGCAGGCTGCAGCACTCACCTGCTGTTGCAGACCCCAGAAACAAGTGAAAGCAGGAACGTCAGCAGCATGCAGGCAGGCACTGAGGCCTGCTTCATCAGCTCCACAATGATACTTGCTTCAACGCCATCCGACTGCCAGTGGGTCATCTTAATGGGCCCATCATCATATCTGTCTGTCATGAAGAGCACCTTGCTGCTTGCAACTGTGTTAAAGATGGCAGAGAGCTTGGAGGCATCCTCTGCCCCGAGGTCAGCCGTGTCCAAGGGGGGGTGCAGATGGGACAGCATGACTTTACGTTGGTCATAATACACTAAGATGATTTCTTCTTCTCTGTGGTTGTCAGACTGTTTCTGAAGGGTAGAACAGTTCCAGAATTTGCTGTTTCCCTCTTTGCTTATCTGAATCCATGGCTCATGAGAAAATATCGTCCCAAGGTCTTCCAAGAACTCACTCAGGCTCTCTTCTTTCTCCTGTTTGCTGTTGTTCCATGAGCCGAGCACAGAAATGCTGACCTTAGTCACCTGCTGGACTTCCCTGAGATATTGCTTCACCTGAACAGGAATAAAGGGGAAATGGACCACGGCGAGGATAACAGCAGAGCTCTGTTCTGGGATCCAGCGGCCGATCAAAATGCCGCTTTCTGCCGAGGAACAGCACGAAGGAAAGAAGACCTTAAGGACCATGCCAGCAATCCCTGGAGGATGGGACACCTGCCAACAGACACAGAAACAGAATTTGGAGTGGTGATTAGATGCAAGGACAACATGAGCTGGCCAAAGTCACCAGCAAGGAGGTCTCCTGTATCACCCAGGCACCCAGAGCTGAACTCGGTAACAAACACACTGAACAGCCCTGGCCACAGCACTCATCCCCTCCTCTCACCTAGAAACAAAGACAAGAAGTTTGTTGCAAGCAGACTACAATGACTGACTGATTGAAGCTTATAAAGCAGCTTCAATTCATTAGATGCAAGATCCCAAACCAGGAGAGGCATCTCTGCTTTACCAGTGCTCCGTACCTGAAGTATTTTTCTTGATGTCATTAAGAAAATACCTCAATGGCTTCATAAGACTTTTATTAAAAGAAGCTTCAGGGCAGCTGACAATGTCTCTTTAAATAAGGTGAAGGTTTCTAACAGAAATATAATTGCTGTAAGGAGAGCGCTCGCACACAACAATCGGCATCTGGCACCCGTTGTCCTTTTCTGTCCTTCAGTGCTTTGTTAGAGATGTGAAAACTCCCCAGCCCCCGAGGCTGGCTGCTCTGCGAGGGACCCAGTCAGTCGGAAAGAGAAACGGAGTGTATTTATAACACGCACAGAGGATGCACAGCGCGCAGGTCCCTGTGGTTTGGTTTCTTTCCTCCCTTTTTAATACAGGACAATTGATCGAGTAAATCTCAGCACCGGGCAATTTGCAGTGGAATGGAGTAGGTGATGGGGCAGCAGCAGAGGCACGTGGTTAAGCAGCTCCCAGGCCCACAACCCTGCAAATATGGCTCACAGAGGAGCACTGAGAAGCTCACCCCAGGGCATTCCCTCTATCAGGGTGCTCAGGGAGGTTCTGCTGCTGAGCACAGCATCTGCAGGTACTGGGAGCTCCGGCCCATGGGGAGGGCAGCTTTGGGAGCCCACAGAAGGAATGATGTCTCCTCCTCTATGACCGAGGATAACTGTAGAGACGTGGAGCCTGAGAGCATCTTGAGAGAACCTTTAATAATCTGTATTTTTTTTCAAAGGCCTTCAAACCTCCAGCAGATTGGGAAGGGAAAACATATCAAAAGTAGAAAACTGGGAGGTGTGACATCCTGAGACTGGAAAGGTGCAGCACCGGGCATGGGAAAGATGAGGAAACTGCAGTCCAACTGAGAAACAGCATCACCAAACCCTAACAATCATTAGACCCAAACAGACTCAAAAACAGGACATCCTGCTTATCCACTCCTATTGACACAGCCCAAATGAGGGTGGTTTTGCTGTTTGGGGTGGAAAATCATGAAGACAAAGGACAGACACTCAATTAGAATAACGCCTGAAATGCACAGGAAAACAGTGAAAATCAGCTGCCAATTAATTAGACTGGTCCTAAAAAAGTCTAAAATAAAACCTGTCCCTGCATCACACATTTGTTTCTTTTGGAAAGAAGTTGCTGCTGTGCTGTTTGCACAAGCACCATCCCTTTGCTAAGGGTCACATACACCCCAGGTAGAAGGAAATAAACCAGGGGCACGACTCCCACCTTGCACCCATACCTCTGCAGCCAAAAATGGAGCCCCTGCTGCTAGCACAGCACACAACCAGCAGACAGCGACAGGACGAGGGGGAACGGCTTTGGACTAAAAGAGGGATGATTGAGATGGGAGGAGGAAATCCTTCACTCAGAGGGCGGTGAGGCGCTGGCACTGCTGCCCGGAGCTGCGGGCGCCCATCCCTGGAGGCGCCCATGGCTACGGATGGGTCCTGGGCAGCTGAGCTGTGGGGCTCAGACCACGGCAGGGCCTTCCTTTGGTGACAAGGCCATTCTACGCATGCCGGGCCGCTCGGGGCGCGCAGGGGACGAAGCAGCCCTAGCTAAATCCCTGCCCGGGAACCCCGAGCTCTTTCCGCCGGCCTCGGTGCAGCCGGGCCTGGAAGCGCAGCACACAACGGAACGCGCCCGCGTCCCGCCCGCAGCGCAGCGCTCCCCGCCGGCGGCCCGCAGTTTTAGCGCCCCCCCGCCCCGCGCCGCCCCGCGCCCCGCTCCGGCCCAACGCCGCCTACCGCTCCGCGCCGCCCGCTTCCGGGTGCCGGTTGCTCGGAGACGCCGCCTGCGCACCGCGCTGTGCCCGGCCGGCCCCACAGCCCGGCGTCCCGCGTTCCGCCCGCCGCACTGCTCGTTTCGCCCCTCTCCCCAGGCCCCGCTTCGCGCTGGGTTTCCAGGATCTCGCCCCGCAGCACCGACCCGAGGCGTCCTCGCAGGGCTGGGAGCCGCGCGGTGTAACCCGCAGCTGCTGCTGAGCCCGTGAGATAAGCAGCGCCAGCGCTCGGTCCTGCTATCTCTCGTGGCCACGGCGCTCGGCTCCAGGGCCTCGTGGTGCCTCGCGGTGCCTCGCAGCCTCTCCCCGCACTCTGTCCCTGGCTTATCCTCCTGCTGACCAAACGCGATGGGAAGGGGCATCCAGTGGGGCGTGCTTGGGATGCGGGATAAGAGCCTCTGGCAGCTATGGGGCACAGATCACAGCATTGTGTGCACAATGGTGCACCCAGCACAGCCAGGCTGAGCGCCCTGGGAGCCCGGAGGCATCAGCTGCAGCCTCGGAGCTGTGGGGCAGCCTGCACTGCCATAAGCCGGAGCAGGAGAGGAAAACAGCCTTCCCTGTGCCACCACACCTTGCCTTCTCTCTGCTGATAGCGACGTGGCTCCTGAACTGTGCAGCCCCAATGTTGTGCGAGCAATGGGACGTGCAGATAGGAAACGCGCTCTGTGCAGTAGTTGCTGCTTCCCTGTAGAGGTCAGGAATGTGGCATGGAATTTGTTACCTTTCCTTTAATGTTCTCCTGGAGGGTACCGCAAACTCAGCTCTGTCCTGGCCTTACCCCTCTGGCTGTGCTCCGCCTTGGACATCAGGGAGGCAGAAGCGTGGCCAGGTAAGATGGGCGTGTGTGGGAGAGAAGGAATTATTTCATTGAAAAGACACACAAGAGGATGGCGGTCAGTTTCCAAGGCACCAACACACCATCAATTTTTATAGAACCAGAGAATCCTTCAAGTTGGAAGGGAGCCATAAGGACCATGAGTACCAACCCCTGGCCCCACACAGCACCGGCCAAACCCAAACCCTCTGTCTGAGCAGTGTCCCATTGCCCTGGGGAGGCAGTTCCATGCCCACCATCCTATCTCAGCCCTTCAGCTACTCTGGTGGATCCAGGAAGGGTGGAGCTGAACCGTTGTCGCTGTAGTCCTTGTTTCTGCCATCTGGAAAAGCTGAATGGCAACAAGGTGGTTGAGTGCAGGGACAACAGGAGCGCCTTCATTTGCAACCCACCAGCGGACCCAAAGCTCAGCAGGGTTGTGGTGGAACCGGCCCCACTCTGAAGGTTGTCACAGGGTGCCCAAGGGCAGCCGGGGCCTCACGTGGTACTTGAAGACTTTCACACAGTTCTCACCTGTGTCTGCCACGAAGAGGTGCCCAAAGGGGGAGCAGGCCACGCCAGCCGGCCTCCGCAGCCCTGCGGACACCAGGCAGATGGGAGCCCCGCTCTCTGGGAACAAATGGACGGTGCGGTGCTGCTCATCTGCCACCACCACACTGCCTTCTGCATCCACACACACCCCCGCCGGGTTGCCAAACTGGTGTCCGTATTTGCTGCTGAGGGAGCAAACGAGTTTATGACTGCTCATGAACACCTTGACGTCTCCGCACTCCTCACTTACCACAAAGCCTCCATGGGGTGCCGGGCTGACATAGCGAGGGCCCTGCAGGTTGGGGACTGAGCAAATGTTCAGTGTCCTGAAAGCATGGTCCAGTGCAAAGCTGCAGACTTGGCCTTGGGCATAGTCTGCTACTAAGATCTTGCCCGTGGAGTCCACTCCAACACCCCTGGGGGAGCCAAACTTCCCAATCTTTATCCATTCTCCTTTGGAGGGGGTGGTGTGAGGATTGAAGACCCAGACAGCCCCATTTGTCATGTCAGCTACGGCCACCGTTCCTGCCCGAGTCACGGTCACATCCTCTGGCAAAAAGCTGCCACCTTCCCTTCCCGTTTGCCAGCAGGGCAGGGACTTCAGCACTTGGCCTGTGCTGCTGAGCACGTGCACCCAGGGAGCACCCTCGGCTGTCACATAGATGGAGCCATCCCGGGAGCAATGGATTCCACTTACACACCCATAACGGCTGCCAGTGGGGTTGGGGATCTGCCGCACCAGCTCATCCTGACGATAGTGGAGGAGGTTCTTGATGTTGTCCAGGTCTCTACACAGGCTCTTGGTCTTGTCTGCCAGCTGGTGGACTTGGAGCTGTGTCACCATGCCCATGCCCTGCTGGCTGCTCAGCAGCGGGCTGGCAGTCTGTAGAGTGGTGTTTGACTTCAGCTGAAGGGTGTAGAGGGCTTTCAGAAGCTTCTCCTTCTGCTGGCTGGTCTCCAGAGTGGAGTCCATGATGAGACTCTCATCCCTGTTTAGAGTAAGTGGAAGGCCTATTACTGACCGATCTCTAGGGACATGCTCTGAGCTCAGGTGCTTGCTGAATACACAGGACCAAGGTGTTGGTGCTAGGCTGGATTCACGCCAAAGCAACAGAGAACAGCTCAGTCCTGCCCACTAATTATGTGCTCAAAATGTACACAGGGACAAAAATCAAAGGGGAGCAAAGCTGGATCTGCAACCAGAACAGTGCATGGGCTTCAATGCCAGTTTGAGTGACAGATCTGTCCTGAGGGTTTACGCAGAAGGGACAGCCCTGTGTGTAAGTGCACTGGGCTGAACTCCATCTCTCCAGTTCTTAAGATCAGCAGCTTCTCTCAGGTCCTTCACACTTCTTTACCCTATTTTCTCTAAGCCATATCTCCCTAAGCCATGCTCAGTCCCTGCTTGCACTGGCTGAGGATAACTTTTCCTCCACTCCCGTGTGGGTCAGATTTCACACCTGGCCAGGGCGTGTGTTTGCTAAGGGCAGCCTCTTTCCATCCAAACCAATGTATTCTGGAAACAGCCAATGCCTTAGCAGGAGGAAAAAGAGAGGTATTGCTCTGATTCAGCCTCCACGAACATTTCAGAAGTGGGTTACACCTTCTTTCAGATGTGAGAGCCAGCACAGCAACCACAATTTCTCTTTTGCCCACTCTGTTTTACAACCACAGATATGAAGGTTGGGTCCTGCAAAACCCAGAGTCTACAGCCCTGCTCTTCAGCAGAGAGGAGCTGCTAAGAGAAACGTGACCTTGGTGAGGATCCTGGAGAGGCAGAAGTTAACCTTGCTTTAAATGTTCTCATAATTATCGTTATAAAGGACACATTCAGCTGTTCTGTTTGCAAGCCACTGCTCCGCCTTGATTGCCCTGTGTCCCATGACTGGCTGCTGTTCTACACTGCCTGCAAGAGTAATCCTTCCTCAAGCCAGCACTGGAGGGTTGTGCTGGGCTGAGGCATACTGGGTGTATCCTTCCCAAATGCAAACACTGCAAACGTCTGAAACATCATTCCCCAAGTATCTGTAGAAATTCCAAATGCAACTACATGAGAGCGAGTGTGAATCCGCCTCCTGTTGGATCTGTGGCTTGAGGACAAATTTCTCATCTTCTTCCCTCAGTGCAGGGGAAGTGTGCTTCAGCCCCTGACAGCAGGGAGCTGAGAGATGGCACCAAGCCTTCCTCCAGCCCTCACACTGCTGCCATGGCGCATCGGGGTCTTGCTGAAGAACTGAGCAGAGTTCAAATCCAATAAACTGGCTTCCAGAGTTGGTAAAAAGCAAGTTACTAGCCAAGAGGCTAAGCTGCCAGCCACCACAACCCCAAAAACACAAGTGGCCACTTTGCTGGCCGTGACCCCATCCCCAGCACAGCTCAGTGACTGTGCACAGCCGGGAGCCCAGTTCCTACCTCTAGTCTGGATGTCCTGGGGCTGCCTGTCCTTCCCAGCAATGCTGCCCTCCTGCTGGCTCTGTCCTGCTCCCTGGCCAGGCTTAGGGTGGTGGGGCTGATGGTGCTGTGTGTGTTGTTAGTGACGGACAATTGCCCTTGAATGTGGGTAAACACAACAGCTTCTTGTGCTGACAACCAGAAGCAGCAAGACAAGGGCTGGTGCACCCAGTTTTTATTCCCTGCTGGTCTGGTGCCCAGACAGAAGGTGTCTTTCCTCCAGGATCAGAGGAGGAAAGGCCCCAAGGTGCCCAAGTGCAGTGACAATTAAGGGCTTTACTGCAGAGCTTCAGACAAAGGGAGCAATATGCGGCACCTGAGTGAAACATCCTTTGGGAATTGGGGTGGGGACACTCCCACACCTTGGGTCAGGACTCTTAACTTATCTCACTGCTCCTCCACGGCTCCCTGTGTGCTCCCAGCCTGGGTCACGTGCAGTTGGGTGCCCCATTTTATGGGAGGAGATGGGGATTTTGGCAGGGGTCTAATGGAAACGCTCTTTATCTCCATGTCTGTCAACCATGGCTCCCTGCTGCTGTGCAAGGCTGTGTTCTGACTTGGAGGTAGCACTGATTGGTTCAAGCAAAGAAGGTGAAGAGTAAATGCAGAACCAGTGAGGTCCCACCTGTAAGGCACTGCTCAGCACTGGATTTGCGTAGTGTGGGGTCCACCCTGGCCAAGGACAAGTTCAAAGCATCCACCTTAAATGTGGCCAAGGTTTTTCTTGGCCTTAATAATGTTTGTGTCTGTCTGTTACCCAGATGAGCCAAAAGCAACGAAGTTTGGATCAATCTCCCCCCATTTTTCCATCTTATGGAGTGCTTGGAGGCAGTTGGGCCCTGCTGGCAGTAGGGGCTGCAGGATGGGGAGCTGCCTCCGGAGCCCTGGACTGGGAGCTCCTGATTTAGTGCTTGGGGATCTTCTGGTCCTATCAGTGCATCCCTGAAGCTCACAAGGTCTGGAGGGCTGCTTCAGGCCTATTACCAGACAAAACTATAAAATAACCTGACATGACAAGCACTGGGGCCACTCCATCCAAGTCCCAGCAGGACACAGGCAGCTTCAAAAACCATCTCCCAGGGCAACAGGGTCTGACCTTTTGTTTCACTGTTGTGTGCTCCATCACCATGATAAACAAACACAGCCTGGCCCTGGGGCTCCTGTTCACCTTTCCAGGACCGTGCCTCTGTCACAACCCGTTTTGAAGCCACCCCTGGACCTCAGGAGGCACCTGTGTCATGGTACAGCCCGTGCCCACGCCAACACTGGGAGCTGCAAGGTTCAAAGACGGGGGCATGGTCTGGCTGCCCATACTACAGATGTACCAGGTGAGTAGAGCTTGGGTGCAATTCAGGTTTTCCCAGAGCATGGCACTGGCAGGCATTAGCACTGACCTTCAGCCCTTGGGGTTTTTTCTCCCCTTATCCCAGGCCCATGAGTTCTGGCCTGAGTGTGCACACAGAAAGCTCTGTGCCCAGTGGATGGGGCACAACACCTGCCTAGCACCATACGTGTGTGCTGGGTGGCTTATCCCATGAGATTGCTTACCTAGAGGTAGAGTTGTGAAAAAAACATAACCCAAACTTACTTAGATCACATCTGCAGGGATGGGGGGAGGATAAGGGGAACGTAGATGGCCATGGCATCCATGGAGGGTTTCAGTTGCCTTGGAGAGATTTAGACTGAAGGCTGGGACTGTTCTCAGACAGACCTGAAGTAGAACAGCAGTGTCTCAGACTGCTCTGAGAGCATTGGTTGGGAAACCCTACAGCTGTCCTGCTCCTGGCCCCTGCAAATATGTTCACCCTGTGAGACACCAGAGTTCCCATTGTCAGCCATCTAACCTATGGAGAAGGTTCTGCAGTGTCTGATAGGGACTGAGCTCTTCTGGCAGAGCAATAGGAAAGCCCCATCCCTCCTCCTGCACAGCCTTTTCTCCCCCACGAGGCTCACCAGAGGATTAAGAATCCAGTTTGGGACATCTAGCTCTCTGCTGTCTGACCAAAAGGGCCAAAGGCAGTGCAGATCAGCGGGCACCGGCAGAAAGCCCCTTCCCTGCAGGAGCAGATCCATGCGCTGCCCCTTCCTCATCTGTCCCCAGGCTGTGGCAGCCCAGTGCTGGGCCATGAGTGGCTCCTAGGGTGGCACCCGGCGCTGGTTCCTGCCATCATCTGCATCCCCTGGAGCAGAAGGAGGCCCACGAGAGGCCCGAGGGAGACCTGCTCTCACTCTCTCTCTTGCTCACGCTCTCGCTTTTGCTCTTCCAGGCTGCCCTTGGGGACCACATGCCCCCGAGCCAGACCGCGGCTCTCCTACTTACTCCCAACATCACTTTCAAGTACTTAAACCCTCCCTGCTTCACTCTCTGAGCCTTTTATCCAACTCCAAAGCCAGAGTGGTTCTGCCCTGGGCAAACACCCAGGGAACTAATCTGTTCACATCCATTCGGAAGTATCCAGGAGCTGGGAAAGGAAACCTCCAACTGGAATAATGGATGGGCTGGGGAAGAAAGGCAGCAGGGAAATGTTGTCGGCTTTTCTACTCTTTTTTTTTCTCCCACATAACTGAAGAGGTTGGCTGCCTCCCCCAGCTCACAGTTCAGAAACCAGCTCCTTGTTCCCTCCTGCTCAGACAGAGCAGCTCTGCTGTAGGTTGTCTCAGCAGCTTCATGTATCTGCTCAGAAATCTCCTTGCCGACCTTGGCCCTTCTTTAGTCCACGTTCGGTAACTTTCCACTGCTCCGAGCTCTGGCCTGCCCGTGTCAAGTTAGGAGAGAACTGGTTGTGCTGGGCAGGAACCACTTCTCGTGCCCAGCTGGTTCCACCTGGGATCCCACCGCTATGAATGAGTGCCCAGCATCCCTACCACATTGCACATGGTCCTACCATGGCACAGCCTGCATGGCCATCCAGCAATGCTCCAGGCCCAGCTCACTGAGCACAGGGCTATGCCTGCCTCTGCTTCTTGTTGCTGGTCCTCGTGATCACAGCCAAGGCACCATGGCTGGAAAAATGGGTTGGGATGCAGCAATCCCACACATTGCATCCCAGCTCTGTTCCCAGAAACCCTGGAGCTATGTCCTTGTGCTGGAAGGTTGCAGAGCCATAACTTCCTCCTGCACAAGTTACCCTGAAGCTTTGTCCCTTGCCTGAGAGAAGCCTTCCCTGGGGGGTTGTTTATTAGAAAACTTCAAACCTCCCCCCCCCTCCCTTAGCTGTCCTTTGCTCTTGAACCCAGAGGAGAAGGAATACCTGAGCAGGAGCAGCTCTACCCACCCAGGGTAAGAAACCCATAAAAGCCGTGCAGCTCCATTGAGCAGGAGCTTCTGGTCTCAGTGCTGA